TAAACAACTACATATTTTACATTTTTAAAGACTAAAATTAAAAATAAAGCTACATAAATAATTTATCCGCGTGTATGCGAGAGAATCACCTAGTTGTCATTATACTTGGAGTAATTTAGATATTTTTGTGTTACTTGCGATAGAAAAATATCCTGACTTAATCTATGATTGCTTAAATATTTAAAAAAATGAAGCCAATGGTTTGCTTACGACTGTTTCTATTGGCTTATACTATCTACACCAAAACTCTGTTTCGGCCTTTTGAGATGGAAGTTAGGAGAGCAGATCCGGAGCCGAAGACTACCTCCGATCCGCTTCTTCGGTCCACCACCGTGGGATCCTCCTGGTGGCAGCGAATTCACAGCAACCACTGTGACCAGCCATGGTGGTGGTTCCGGGCGATACTGAAGATACGAGAGTGGTCGGCGACCGTAGCTGGTCCAAGGTGGAAGACTTTTATCCGTCGATTCAACCGCGATGGACGCCTCGGCCGCGATTGGGACAATAGCCACAAATACAAATACAAATACGATACCTCGACTTATAAGTTGAGTTTCGAGGATGAAAACGAAGACAACAACAACGATGCAAGATTTGGTGGATTCCGGAGCTTCTCGATGCGCTACGCTTACGTCCCCGTCGTTTCCGGTAAAGCTCCCGCCGTTATCAGCGTTGACACCGAGAAATAATATCTCTTTGGACGCGTTCTGCGTTAGGCGGGGGAGTTTGAAAAGTCTTTGTCGTCATGAGTTTTGCGTTTCCTTTGTTTATTCGTGTACGTTAAATTTGGTATGATTTTTTTATATCGTTGAAAGTTTCTCCTTTTTTCTAAGTGTCATGTGAATGTAAAACGAGGGTTTCTTATTGTTGACAAAAATAATTATTAGGGTTTATTATACAAAAGAATATGGTAAACGATTGTTATATGTGGGTCGATTTTCTATATCGAATTCATCTTTATACTCTTACAAGGTTTTCTTATTTTTGAATTGATTTAGGAAAAATAATGTAGTAATTCCCTATATATAATTAGAGCAAAACCCTTTGAATGTTACACTTTTGAATACGAAATTCCATTGAGGAAGCTCCAAGTTTAGGGGTCTAAGGCGAACAAACATAAATTTTATTCAAATAATATTTTAATAAACAATTACACTTAAATTTTAATTCTTTGTCACAATACGTACTTTGCAGAATTGAAAATCCGATGGTGACACAATAACAACACTAACATAAATTATTAGATTTAAAACATGCATGGTCAAGATTTAAATTATAAAAGTTGATCTTATATTGTAAAATTTATAATTTTATTTTTTGCAATTATATGAGCAAAATAAAATATTATTTTAAAGTCTTTAAAGAAAATTTTTTAAACTTG